GACTCGATGGCACATAACAACAACAACAACAACATATGGAATTGACTTGATGGCAATGGTTTTTATTTTATTTTATTTTTTCATGCTATATTCAATGCCTATCAAATACTGGGCACATTATATATATCATCTCATTTAATTCATACAACCCAAATCAGGAAACCAAGGCTCAAAGAGAAATCACTTGCCTGAGGTCACACAGCTAGAATTCAACTCTAGCTCTGGTTCCTTATCACTACTCCTCAAAGCTGTAGAGGAGCTCCTAAGCCTGTTAAGGCCTATGCCTCTTCTCTGAGGCATGCAAAGATTCATGAGGCTGTGTCCCAATGTATCCAAAGCCAGGAAGCTCTACATATTCAATAAATGCTTGTGGAACACATGACATGGCTTAGATGGAAAGCCATGCTACAACAGAGTAAAACTAACATGTTATGGAGAGAGCACTCCATCTCACCCAGGGAACCTCAGAAGGCCTCCTGCAGTTAGGACTGAAGGAGGAGCAGGCCACAGACAGGTATAAGTAGAGACAGGAAATGAAGTAATTCCAGGCAGAGTGAATAGCCTGGGCAAAAGCTTAGAGGTAGGGCAATGTAGAGCAAGTCAGGAAATGGTGACTGGATAATGAGGCTGGAACATGGGGTATTATGGGGTGGGAGGAGAACTTGGTGGAAAAGAAGCTGGAGCCTCAGGTTAGGAGATCACTGTGGAGACAATGTGGAGCACGAGAAGGTATCTGAATGGGGTGGGGAGTGACAGAGTGAGATTTGAGTGGCAGGGAGTTCTAAACATTCCTGATTTATAGATGGAAGAACTGAAGTGTTACAAGGGGCACTGACCTGCTGTGACCCCTCTCACCCCACTGGAATAGTATGCTTTAAGGACTACCAGTCAGGCTACAGCCCAGTACCAATTAGGCATAAGCACCAAGGGTCAGTGTGAAGCAAGTGGGCAAAAGTCTGATCAGTAATGAGCTCTCCCCTGGTTTTCCACCTTGTCCTGTGGCTATACCTTCAGCAGCCTTTGCTTCATCAATACCATGAATGTCAGTGTTGCCAGGTTTAGTTCTACGCCCTTTCCTTTTTCCATGCCAAACACACTTCCAAATGCAGTCCAAGTATGTGCTGAGAACTCGCAAATCCATTTCTATGTTGAGTCTTAGAACCATGGGGCACACTGCCTGGCAGATGTCTTCATCTGGATGTCCCTCTCGGTTTCAGCCTTGACATTTCTGAGCCAAACTCAATGACTTCTTCACATGTGCTCTCCACCGGAATCCCACTTCAGTGAGTTATCCCAGGCCAACCACCTAGGAGTTCTTGTAGATACTCCCCTCTCCCTCCACCACTCCCACACTTGTTTTAGAGCCCTTGGTGCACTCAGATCCTTAATCGCAGTTGTTAACCACCCATGACTGTCAGCTCAGACATCTGCAGGGGTAGGCTGATACTGGACAGGGAAATCAGGAGATACATACCCTGCCTACAGTAATTCTCACCCATTGCTGCTATGAGGAAATGCAGGCCACAGTTACAAAATACCCCTATTTTCAAGTGATGCAGGAAATCCAAGAAAGCTCCAAACTTATAAATATTGTCATTTAATGAACAAATTTTAGCAGCACAGTGCACCAAACATAACCTATCTGCAGCCAGATCTGAACTCTAGCTACCATTGTGCACAGTGACTTGCGAAGATCACAGAGCAACCCTCCAAGCCCCATGCAATTTCCCTCTTGCTGTGCCTGCTTTAAATGAATTTTGGGTTTGCTTTGTACTTTTGTTTTGTGATTGCATCAGATTTTTACCACTCCAGACATTAGCCCTTTGTAGCTGTTGTTATGTGCCAATGAGTTATATGTACAGCTCTGACTCATATGTACAGTAAAACAAAATGCTCTCTGGTCCTGTACCATCCTTAAAATCATCGCCATGTCTGAGCCCATTGTTGCAGCCATTGTGTCAATCCATCCTGTTGAAGGTCTTCCTTTCTGGCTGACCCTCTACTTTACAAAGCTTGATGTCATTCTCCAGGGACTGGTCTCTCCTGATAACATGTCCAAAGCACATGAGATGAAGTGTTGCTATCCTCACTTCTAAGAAGCATTATGGCTGTATTTCTTCCAAGACAGATGTTTGTTCTTCTGGCAGTCTTTGATATATTCTATATTCTTTGTCAACACTATAATTCAAAGGCATCTATTCTTTGGTCTTCCTTATTCATTTCCCAGCTTTTGCATTCACATGAGGTAACTGAAAAGACCATAGGTTGTGTCAGGTATACTTTAATCCTCAGAAGGACATTTTTGCTTTTTAATACTTTAAAGAGGTCTTTTGCAGCAGATTTGCCCAAGGCAATATGCCATTTGATTCCTTGACTGCTGCTTCCATGGGCATTGATTGTGGATCCAAGTAAATGAAATCCTTGACAACCTCAACATTTTTTCTCTTTATTATGATGTTGCTTATTGGTCCAACTGTGAGGATTTTTGTTTTCTTTATGATGATATGTAATTCATACTGAAGGCTTCGGTATTTGATCTTTTTATCAGTAAGTGCTTCAAGTCTCCTTCACTTTCAGCAAGCAAAGTTATCATCAGCATACTGCAAGTTGTCAGTGAGTCTTCCTCTAAGCCTGATGCCATGTCCTTTTTTATACAGTCTAGCTTCTAAGATTATTTGCTCAGTATACAGGCTGAATAAGTATGGTGAAAGTATACACCTTTCCTGATTTTAAACCATGCAATGTCCCTTTGCCCTGTTTGAACAACTGCCTCTTGGTTTATGTACAGGTTCTGTATGACCACAATTAAATATTCTAGAATCCCATTCTTTGCAATGCTATCCATAATTTGTTATGATCCACACAGTTGAATGCCTTTGCATAGTCAATAAAACACAGGTAAACATCTTTCTGATATTCTCTGCTTTCAGTCAAGATCCATCTGACATCAGCAATGATTTCTCTCTTTCAATATCCTCTTCCAAATTTGGCTTGAATTTCTGAGAGTTCTCTGTTAATGTACTGCTGCAACTATTTTTGAATTATCTTCAACAAAATTTCATTTGTACGTGATATTAATGATATTGTTCAATAATTTCTACATTCTGTTGTATTCCCTTTCTTTGGAAAGGGCACAAATATGGATCTATCCAGTTCTTGGCATAGAGAAGTGAGTGTTTCCAGTGTTGTATCCATTTATTAAAATATCTCAGTTGGTATGCTGTCAATTGCTGGAGCCTTGTTTCTCGCCAATGCCTTCAATGCAGCTTAGACTTTTTCCTTAAATATCGTGTTTTTGATCATATGCCACCTTCCTGAAATGGTTGAACATTGCCCGATTCTTTTTGGTACAATGACTCTGTTTATTCTTCTCATCTTCTTCTGATGCTTCTTGCATCCTTCAATATTTTGCCCAAAGAATCCTTCAATATTGCAACTCAAGGACTGAATGCTCTTCTCAGTTCTTTCAGCCCGAGAAATGCCGAGTGTGTTCTTTTCTTTTGTTTTTCTAACTCCAAGTCTTTGCACATTTCATTATAATACTTTACTATGCCTTCTCAAGCTGCCCTTTGAAATTTTTTGTTCAGCTCTTTTACTTAATCATTACTTCCATTCACTTTTGTTCTTCTACATTCAAGAGCAAGTTTCAGTGTCTTCTGACATCTATTTTGGTCTTTTCTATTTTTCTTGTCTTTTTAGTGACCTTTTGCTTTCTTCATGTGATATCCTTGTTGTCATCCCACAACTCACCTCATCTTCAGTCATTAGTGTTCAATGTGTCATATCTATTCTTGAGATGGTCTCTTCCATAGTTGGCCCCTGGGCTTGTTTTGACTGATGATACTGAGCTTCTTCATCATCTCTTTCTACAGATGTAATCAATTTGATTCCTGTGCATTCCATCTGGTGAGCTCCACGTGTATAGTCACTGTTTATGTTGTTGAGTAAAGGTATTTACAAAGAATAAGTCATTGGTCTTACAAAATTTTAATGCAATCTCTGATGTTAGGTCTATCACCAAGACTGTATTTTCCAACTACTGATCCTTCTTTTTTGTTTCCAACTTTTGCATTCCAATTACCAGTAATTATCAATGCATCTTGATTGCACATTTGATCAATTTCAGTCTGTGTAAGTTGGTCAAAATCTTCCATTTCTCCATCTTTGGCATTAGTGGTTGGTACACAATTCTGAATAATAATCACTGTATTAACTGGTCTTACTTGTAGGCTATGGATATTATCCTATCACTGACAGTGCTGTACTTTAGGATAGATCTTGAAATGTTCTTTTTGATGATGAATGCAACACCATTCCCCTTTGTAGCACTGTTATGTTGTTAGGTGCCATAGAGTGAGCTGCAATTCACAGTGACTCTATGCACAACAGAATGAAACACTGCCTGGTCGTGTTCCATCCTCATGATCTTTGCTATGCTTGAGCCCATCACTGCAGCCACTGTGTCAATCCATCTGGTTGAGAGTCTTCCCCTTTTTCATTGATCCTTTACTTTACCAAGTATGATATCCTTCTTCAGGGATTGATCCCTTCTGACAACATGACCAAAGTAGGTAAGTCGAAGTCTAGCCATTCTTGCTTCTAAGGAGCATTCTGGCTGTATTTCTTCCAACACAGATTTATCTGTTCTTCTGGCAGTCCACGGTATTTTCAGTATTCTTCACCAATACCACAATTCAAATGCATCAGTTCTCCTTTGATCTTCCTTATTCATTGCCCAGCTTTCACATGTACATGAGGCTATTGAAAATACCCTGGATTGGGGGTCAGGTACACCTTGGTCTTCAAAGCAACATCTTTGCTCTTTAATATTTTAAAAAGGTCTTTTGCAGCAGATGTGCCCAGTGCAGTACATCATCTGATTTCTTGACTGCTGCTTCCATTGGTGTTGACTGTGGATCCAAGTAAAATTAAATCCCTGACAACTTCCATCTTTTCTCCATTTATTGTGATGTCATTTACTGGTTCAGTTGTGAGGATTTTTATTTTCTTTATGCTGAGGGGTAGCCCATACTGAAGACTGCAGTCTCTGATCTTCTTTAGGAAGTGCTTCAAGTCTTCTTCTCTTTCAGCAAGCAAAGTTGTGTCATCTGTATATCGCAAGTTGTTAACGAGTCTTCCTCCAATCCTGATGCCATGTTCTTCTTCATATAGTCCAGCTTCTCAGATTATTGCTTAGCATATAAATTGAATAAGTATGGTGAAAAGATATAACCCTGACTGCACTCCCCTCCTAATTTTAAACCATGCAGTATCCTCTTGTTCTGTTCTCTTTGAACAACTGCCTCTTGGTCTATGTACAGGTTCCTCGTGAGCACAATTAAGTGTTCTGGAATTCCCATTCTTTGCAATGTTAACCACAATTTGTTATGATCTACATAGTCAAATGTCTTTCATAGTCAATAAAGCACAAGTAAACATCTTTCTGATATTCTTTGTTTTTAGCCATGATCCATCTGTCATCAGCAATGATATCCCTCATTCCATGCCCTCTTCTGAATCCAGTTTGAATTTCTGGCAATTCCTTGTCAATATACTGCTGCAATTGTTTTTATTATTTTCAACAAAATTTTTCTTGTGTGTGATATTAACAATATTGTTCCATAATTTTGGCATTCTGTAGCATCATCTTTCTTTGGAAAGGGTACAAATATGGATCTCTTCTAGTCAGCTGTCCAGGCAGCTGTTTTTCAAATTTCTTGGCATAACCATATAAGCACCTCCAGCACTGCATCCATTTGTTAAAACATCTCAATGGGTATTCCATCAATTCCTGAAGCTTTGTTTTTTTTTTTTTTTTTTTTGACAATTCCTTCAACACAGCTTGGACTTCCTCCTTTAATACCATCAGTTCTTGATCATATGCTATCTCCTAAAATGGCTGAACGTCGACCAGTTCTGTGTATTTCTTTACCTTCTTTTGATGCTTCCTGCATCATTCAATATTTTCTCCATAGGACTCTTCAATATTGCAACTTGAGGGATGAATTTTTTCTTCAGTTCTGTCAGCTTGAGAAGTATCGTACATGTTCTTCCTTTTTGGTTTCCTAATTCCAGGTCTTTGCACATTTCACTATAATACTACAACACAAAAGCTACCCCAGTATGACAAAATGACAGATGACTGGTGGCTCTGCAGCAGAACATCACTGGAATCTTGTCCCTGGACAGGTGTGGTGGGGGTCAGGGTAGGAGTTAGGTGCCAAAGTAGACAGGGACTCAGCTACTCAGAAGAGTGGTTAAGAGTATAGACTAAGGGTCTAGACTGTCTGGGTTTGAATCCTGGCTCTAATACTTATTAGCTATGTCATCTTGGGCAAGTCCCTTATTCTCATTGACAATGTCCTTTCTCTCAATTAGTGCTAATCATATTAGGTTAATACCATAGGCTCTAGAGTCAGACTGCTGCCTTTAAATCCTAGCTTCCTAACTGTATGACCTTGGACAGGTTACTAATCCTCTTTGACTTCAGTTTCCTCTTGGTCCCTACCAAGAGAAAAATGGTCCCTACCAGACGGTTTTGTGAGGATTAAGTGACTGCTAACCAGAAGGCTGGCGGTTCAAACCCACCAGCCACTCCTCAGAAGGAAGGTTGGGCAATCTACTTCCATAGTGATACTGCCTCGGCAGCCCAAGGAGGGGTCGCTATGAGTCGGGGTTGATTCGATGGCACATAACAACAACAACCTGCATTTAAGTACAAGAACTAGGCCTTGAATGGTGTTATTGAAGTGTTTGCTGTTATCAATTATTACAAAAATGGGTATCTAGTTCAAGCCCAATAACCTTCTGAGTTACATATTATAATGTCTATTTTGAAGACGACAAAATGGAGGCTCAGTGGTGGTTAAACAAGCTGTCCTAGGCCATACAGCAAACAAATGGTAAAGCCGGGCTCCAAGCTTCAGCCCTCCCACTACCTGAGTGTACCGTAGGATGAGGTGCTGGCCAGGCCACAGGCCAAGCTGGCTGTTCCCAGGCAATGCAAACCGAGCACAGTAGGTATCTTTGGTGACTTTGTCCACAGTGGTGATGCTGAATGCCAGGAAGGTTTCTGGGCTCAGGCTGGAGGAGCAGCTCTGCAACAGCAAAAGATCCAACAGGGCAGAAGTGGTGGCCCAAGGGACATACTGGCATCCACAATCATCCCTTCCATTTTCTCTAATGAGAAGCTGTCTTGATCAGTAAGTTTTATGCACAACAGAGATTAGCCCCATCTTAGCTCTTTTCATGTTCCGGTCTAAGAATTCCAGAATACTTCACACTAAACTTACCCTGGATAACGAGCAGGATCCTTAGCTAGACATTCAAGGATCTACTGGGCAACCCCTCAGCCTCATTGTACCACCTACATATCAGATGCCAAACTTTTCTCCATCCTCCCAAGAATACCCTGCTGCCTCCTACCTCTGGGTATTTGCTCAAACTGTGCTCTCTATCTAGAATACTCACTCCAGTCTATAAAAGACCTAGCCATCCTTCAAGTCTACTGAAATCCAGATTTACAGAAATCAGAAAATGATGGGACCTTGTGGTAGTTAAGGTTATGTGTCAACTTGGCCGGGCCTGGTTTTAAGTGGCTGGGCAGCTGGATGTAGTTATTCCTCATGACTAGACTAACAATCAACTCCATGGTGGAATCTGCTGTGAGCAGCTGAAGAGCTCCCTTAGGGATGTGGTCTGCTTCCTGTATATAAGAAGCTTTGAGAAAACTCCTGTGCTTTTTGACATGCTTGGACCCTGCATGTAGCCAAGTCTTCATTTAGCAACCTATCATGTTGCTGTTGATCTTGGGATTGTTTCTGGACTTGAACTAGTGGCCTGCTATGTTGCTTAATAATCTTGGGACTGCATCATTTTACTTGTTGACCTTGGGTTTGTCAGCCTCAGCAGCCAGCAGCTGTCCTAGTTAAGAGAAGCCTCCAGTGTCAGTGGGCTGGGAGCAAGAGGCAGAGCCCAAGGCTGAGGGGCCTTCACCTGGCCCCTAGAGTTGGCACTTTGAATTCAGACTTCTAGCCTCCTAAACTGTAAGAGACTAAATTCTTGTTTGTTAAAGCCATCCATTTCTGGTATTTTCTGTTAAGAGTTGCACTAGAAGACTAAAACAGACTTTAAAGGTACTCTAATCCAAAATCTTTATTTTACATATGGAGAACTGAAGGCCTGAGTGGTAGAGGCTTACTTGTTCAAGGTCACACTGTGAGCAATGGCTCAAGTTCATGTGTTCTAAATTATAGCCTAGTGCCCTTAACACTCTACCTCACTCACCTTCAGGTCCTCTAGAAAGCCTTCTCTGAATACAAGGACTCAGCTCTCTCCCTCCTGTAAAATACCCACACCCGATTCACTCCCAGGGCCCCACGTCCAGCTCAGTGCCTGGGACTGTGCACTCTTGAGGCATCAATTCTGCACCAACTTGCCATGACAGTGTCAACAGTGTCACAGTACTGACATGTACTCTGTGGTATGGCCTCCACTGAGACCCCTCCCCCACCTCCCATCCAAGGCAAGGATGCCCTCCTCATCATCAGCCAGAGCACCTGGGCTCCCATGTCTAAGCTGCCTGGTGCTGTGATAAAAGCCCTGGGCTGGCAGTCAGGAGGCCTGGGTTTAGCCTAGCTCTGCTTCTGACCACCTGTGTAGCCTTAGACATATCAATAGATTCTCTGGGCCTCAGTTACCTCATCTGTAAAAAGGGACCACTCATCCCTATAACATTATATGGTCATCAGGAGGGCCATATGGGATAACGACGTAAAAGCCTTTTGCAAAATTTAAATTATTATGAAAATTTAAAAACTTCTATTGTTATTAGTAGGAGCTCTGGTAGCATAGTGCCTAAAGCACCTGACTGCTAAGCAGAAGGCTGGCAGTTCAAACCCACCAACCACTCCTCGGAAGGAAGATGGGGCAATCTACTTCCGTAGTGATACTGCCTCAGAAACCCAAGGAGGGGTCGGTATGAGTCAGGTCTGACTCGAGGCACATAACAACAACAACAACAACAACATTGTTATTACTTCATTAAAAGTGAAATAAATAAAATGTATTATTAGATTAAAATATTCTATTTTACATTATAATACTGATAAAACTTTGTAGTATCACTTAATTTTCCACTTGTGCTAAGAGCTACTATTTACTAAGCACCTACTATAGGCCAGGAGCTCTGGTGGCATAGTGCCTAAGACATCTGACTGCTAACCAGAAGGCTGGCAGTTCAAACCTACCCGCCACTCCTTGGAAGGAAGACTGGCCAAACTACTTCCATAGAGCTACTGCCTCAGAAACCCAAGCAGCGGTCACTATGAGTTGGACCTGACCCAATGGCAGTGAGTTTTTTTTTTTTTTTTCACTATAGCCCACGTGTTTTACATCCTTTTCCCATGAAATCCTCATAATAACCTACAAAAGTATGAACATCCTCATTTTTCAGATGAGAAAACTGAGATTTAGCAACTAAAATGACTTGCTTAAGATCACATAATTAATTGGCAGAACTAGACCTCAGTTTACTCCCTGATTCTCAGTGACAATGTCCTTTCTCTCAATTGGTGCTAATCATATTAGGTTAATACCACAGGCTCCAGAGTCAGACTGCTGCCTTCAAATCCTGACCCCAACACTTCCTAACTGTATGATCTTGGACAAGTCACTCAATCTCTCTGACTTTAGTTTCCTCTTGGGTATGGTAACGGTCCCTACCACAGAGGCTTTTGTGAAGATTAATTGAGCTCCTGCATTTAAGTACAAGAACTGGGTCTTGAATTGTAAGTGCTATAAAAGTGTTTGCTATTGTTATTGTTTAGGAAAAAAGGCATTATCTAGTTCAATCCCAAGAATGCTGAGTCATGTGTTACTATGTGTCTGTCTCCCTTCTATAAGGTGAGGTGTTGAGGGCTGGTACACTGGCTTCTTTACTTTATCATCGACCTCCTTGGGACTGGCACAGAGGTATGTGTTTTCTGGTAGAGCTAAGAGAAACTCTCTTCATTCAACAATTATTTATTGTGCAACAACTGCAATGCCAGGCACTGCTTAAAGTGCTGAGGTTAAAGCAGTGAGCAAGGCAGAGCCCCTTCTCTTATGGAACTTACATTTTAGCCAGGAGAGATGGGCAATACACAAATAAAAAAGTAAACCTCCATGGTGTTTGGCAGTGCTGAGGATTAAGAAGAGAGAGGAAACGGGGTGAGAGGATGGCGAGCAATGGGGGACAGATGGACAAAGTAATTAGAAATGTTTCCCAGAGGAGGTGAAATTAGAGCAGAGACCAGAAGCAAAGGGGCCAGGTACAGAGAGATGGAGGGCAGTGAGGAGGAAGGAACACAGGGGTTGCCATGAATATTTAGTCACTGGCAGAGGCCAGAGGGCTTTGGTTCCCACTACCAGCTTCCAGCAGCAGAACTATAAGGAGACATTTAACGAGAATAAAAGTTGTGCTTTGGGGCTCAAAAACCATGAAACAAACAAAAAACAACTGTATTTATTCAGGATATATGTTCGATAAGTTAGACTGAGCTTTGGCCTAGTTTGGAAATGGTTGGCCAGTAAATGATGGTGATGCCAGGCTGCATTACGAGGCGGTGCCATGGAAATGGCAGGAGATGTTTCCACTCCACACTGATCAGAAGGGATGTGGAGAATGGAAAGCCCAACAAGAGGTAGGTGACCAAGACGGGGATTCAAACTAGGCCTATGTGTAGCAAAAGAAGGAATGGGACCTCTTTTCCCTGTACAATACAGGGATTGAACTCCATGGGGTCTTCTGATAGTCCATAAATTAACTGTGAACCTCTCAAACATCACCATGAAAGGCTAAACTGCTTAGATCAGACCATAAAAGGAGTAAAGGCCAAGAAGAAGAAATGATAATAGTAATAATAGTAGTAGTAGTGATGGTGGTGGTAGTAGTAATAATAATAATAATAATAATAATAATAACATCATCCCCTATCTATCTAGTATGTAACACGTGTTGGTATTCACCAGGAGGGCAAGGATTTCTCAAACGTCCAGTGCCTATGATAGGGCCTGGTATATAAAGGTACTCAATAAATATTTGTTATATTAAAGGAATGCCAGGCTCTGTGCTAAACATCACAAATGTTTAGCTCCATTTTACAGATGAGGCAATTAAGGCTCAGGAGGTTAAAGGACTTTGCCTAAAACCACATAGCTGCTACTAAGTTCCAGGGCCAGGCTTGAACTTGCTATCATTATGCACACTCTTTTCTCTAAACTGAACAGAGTTATAGAAGGTTTCCCAGAGCAGATGATGCGGGCAGGCCAAGGCTGGGTAGACTGTTGCCCTGGCCCTTTGGCTGAGGGGCAGCTCTTCCTTACCTGTACCTCCTCTCCACTCAGCAGGCTCCTGTCCTTGCTGGCTCGGGCTGCCTCCCACCTTGCCAGGTCTCGGTGATAGAGGTCAAATACACATGGTGAGCAGCCACTGCCACAGCACTGGGAGGGCAAGGGTTCCACAGGCCGCAGAAGGAGCCAGGCTTCGTTGTCATCTTCCTCCCTCTCGTCCATCATCAGTACAGCCTGGGCAGCCTGGGGAAGGCAGGGCCTGGGAGGGATGGCCAGGTGTACTTCCCAGAGCAGGCCTGGACCTTAGAGGCCACGAGCCCAGGCCCTGCTCCCTCACCAGCCTGGAAAAGGAAAAGCATGTGGGTTATGCTCTGGTCACCTCCATTCCTCATGTTCTACCTGAGGCCTGCTAGTACCAGGTTTTCTGAAGCCAAACCCTTTCTTCTATAGAAACTCAAAACAAACTCACTGCTGTCAAGTTGGATCCAACTCATAGCAACCCCTCCTTGGGTTTCCATGGCAGTATTACTTGGAAGTAGATTGCCCAATCTTCCTTCCCAGGAGTGGCTGGTTGGTTTGAACTGCCAGCCTTCCAGTTAGCAGTCAAATGCCTTAGGCACTATGCTACCAGAGCTCCTATATAGAAGAAAGATTTATTTCACATAGAGGGACTGCCCTTATAAAACCCATACTAACTGGTAAGGGAATTTAGACAAGGTCTGATCAGAAAGAACCTTGGGCACCAGGCAAAGAGATTGCATCATATTCAGTAGGCAGTGGGGAACTCTTGAAGGTTGCTGAGCAGGGGACTGGTATGATCAGAGCTGGTGACCATTGTGCTGATGGATGATGTGGGGAAAGACTGGAAACACATCTTTGGGACTGCTGAAAGCTCAATGTAGATGGGGGTACGAAGCAGGAAAGAACAGAAAAGCCCTTAAAGGTTAGGTCTCCTGGGGAGTAATTGGGAACCAGAAAACAGGACTTCCCTATCATTCTGGCAGATGTGGTGGTTTGCTCTTCTGCCTTCCCACATACTTGTACTACACCCTGATCCTACATATGAACGCGCAAATGAAATTAGTACCAGTGGGAGGCTCTAAGGTACCCATAAAATTGTATTACTATTCAGCAAGTTGGGCCCCTGCTCTGTCCCAGTCCACTGCCAGGCATAAGCTCCAAACTGGCCTTCCTTCTAGAAGCTCAAATTTAGTGAGAAAGAGCACTAGTCTGGAGGCCTATGTGTTGGCCTTACCACTTCTGGCTTCCTGACTTCAATTTTCTTCTCTGTAGAGTAAGAAAGGGTATGACCTACTACATATGGCTGTTGGGAAGACTCAGTGATTCAATGTAAAGTGTTTGGCCCTGTAAGTGGCAGCAATTATAACAGTTTTTATCTGTTTAGTGAAGGATCATCCCACTAGGCCAGGAGTTCTGGCAGGGCAGGGATGAGTAGAAAATGTAAATTTAAGACAAAGAGTGATATAAATAATCCTCACACTGTGTAGCATTTTACAGGTAACAGCTCTTTCACTTATCTCACCTCACAAAAACCATGGGGAGTAAGAAATTGGCATGAAGAAAGGACCAGACCTCATTCACTCATAATATAGGGCAGTCACTTATCTCTGCATCCCAGCACCTCAGGCAGCAGTCCCTGACTAGTAAGTAGAAATGAAAGGGAGGAAATCAGAGGCTAGGAACTCTTAGAGGTAGTTGCATTTTAGAGTTGTGATGTTTACACTGATTATGAGTTCAAATAATATTCCAATGGCTGTGATAGCAGACTTCGCCTCAGCTCCACTCTCAATACCAAGAGGGATGGAACAAACACCCTCTTTTACTTTGATTTGCGTGTGCGTTTTAAATGACTAGCTTGCTTGCAGGTGAGACAATCAGCTGGGTCTATTTCTGTATAAACCATGCAGATCCACGTGTAAATATAGAGAACCCTGATGAATCCCAAACTTCTTTCTCAGAAACATCTCAAAATAGATAATAATCATTTAGCTCTTCCTTACTGATCTTTTACACTGTTTACCTAACAACCTTTAACATACATATTTTCCTTTAACATACATATTTTAAAACTGTAGATACTGGGCTGTTTATGACATGGCTAAAAGACAAGTCTGCCCTCAAGGAGTTCACAGAAGAAATATGTGTAAACATGTTATTTCTGAACAGTATGAAATGCTATACTATAGAGGTTCCCTCATTTGAGAAGTATTTGTTGAACACCTGCCCTGACCAAGGATGGGCCAAGGGCAGTGAGTGAGTGCTCATGGAGGGAGTGACCAGAGAGGGACTCACAGAAGGTCCCCTTTTCTCTTTCTCTCCCCAGCCTTTCCTCCCTTGGTGTCACCTATCCAGATCTCTATATTCAGACTTACATATGTAGACCTGTTAATCCAACTGAAAACTGGATTTTGCACTTTGATGCCCCATGGACTATTTAGACTCAGCATATCTCAAACTAAACTTTTCCCTCTATCTCTGTACCCAAAATCTAGCTGCTTCTCTTAAGCCCAGTGTCTACCCAGAGATCAAAGTCAGAGACCTGGATGTCCCTTTAACCCCTCCATTTCTCTCTCTGCCCACATCTGATCAGTCCTTATGTTCTGCTGATACCTGTATAGCATTTTTCTAATGGATCCTCCCTGAAGCTGCTGTGGCCCAGGTCCACATCACTGCTCAGCTGGACCATCACAACCTCCTCCTCATGTTTTCCCATAGTTAAGGAGCAATGTGTCAGAGTGGTTAAGACCTGAGGCTCAGGTCAGATTGAAGTTAAAATCCTGGTGCCACCACTTTGGGAGCTGTGTGACCATAGAAAAGTCATTAAACCTCCTAGACCTCAGTTTTCTCATCTGTAAAATGTGACTGCCAATACCTCCCTCATTATAAAGATTAAATGAGATGCAACAATTTGGTGAGTGAATCTCACCAACAATGCTGAGTGAAGAAAGCCTCACAAAAGAAAACATCAGTAGGATTCTTTTCATGTAAATTTAAACAGGCAAAACTAAACAGTAGTGGTTAGGGTTGCAAACAGGTGGCAAAACTAAGGAAAAGCAAGGAAATGATTGTCACAAAAGTTAGGATGTTGCTTACCTTGTGGGGAGGGAGGGAATTATGATCAGGAAGGGACACATGGGTGGCTTATGGGACACTGACGAGATTCTTTTTACGTGACTAGATGGTAGTTACACGGGTGTTCTTTTACAGTTTTTTCATTAAATTGTATGTAAACACTTATGCATCTTCATGTATATTTTGCTTCATCATTTAAAACATTTTTTAAATTCAATGAGGTAATCTGTGTAAAATGCTTAACCCAGCACTCAGAGCACAGTCTGGCTCCCAGCACTAATTGTTGTATCCTGTCTCCTTGCCTCCCCCACCAGACAGAGCAGCAGACTCCCTGTGATTTGCCAGGCTGGGAACAATGTGAGGGCAGAGTTGGTGTCTTATTTCTGTGTTCTACCACCAAGCACAGGACTGGTATATGGAAGGCTATCAGGGACTGGTTAGTACTCATTCAATTTACATGTGGTCTGGGGGCCAGGCATGGTGCTAGGTGCTGGTACATAGGTAGTAAACAGCACATGGTTCCTGCTTTCATAGAGCTTGCAGGGTGTTACAGTAATTTGACCCATTTTTATTGTCTATATGTACCAGGTGTGTATTATGAGTGAATGAGGTCTGGTCCTTTCTTCATGCCAGTTTCTTACTCCCCATAGTTTTTGTGAGGTAAGTGAAAAAGCTTGGTTGCCTGTAAAATGCTACAGAGTGTCAGGGTTATTTAAATCATTCTTTGTCTTAAATTTACATTCTCCACATTTCAACAATGCCATTTTCTCTGGTATTTCGAGAATTGGTAAAGAAGTTGGTCATGTCAGTCATGAATTTTTTTTTTCTTTTAAACTGGGGTGAAATATATCCAACATGAAATTTACCATTTTAACCACAATATTATGCAACAATCACCCACGATTTGTTCCCAAACCTTTTCATCACCCCAAACAGAAACTCTGTACCCATAAAGCAATAAATCCCCATTCTTTTCTCCTCTCAGCCCTCTAATCACCTGTTTCTATGAATGTGCCTATCTCATTTAAATGAACTCTTAGAGTATGTCTTTTTATGTCTTATTTAATTCAGCACAATGTTCTCAAGGTTCATCCACTTTGTACTTAACATGTATTAGAACTTCATTCCTTTTATATGACAATATTCTGTTGTATACTATATTTGTCCATTCATCTGTTGATGAACACAAGTTGTATCCACAGTCATAATTTTCAAAGACTCATGTCATGCCTTCTGTCAGCCTCCACTTTTCAGTCTGAGAGGCATCATCTTTAAGTCACATGTTGCCTGGACACTCTCCCTACCCTTCAGCCCTTGGCTTAAAGGTCATATCCCTCAGAGGCCCTTTCTGAACCCTCCCCTTCTCATTCTCTATCACACACCGTAGTTATTTCTAGTATATATTTATATATTTAACATATATTTATCAAGTGCCTACTATGTGCTGGACCTCTTCTTGGTGTTGAGGATACAGCAGTGCAGAAACAGAAAACCTGGCATTCAAGGAGCTTACATTCAAGTGCGCAAAACAGTGATTAAATAAGATCAAAATGGAAAACATATAGTATGTGAGTGTTAAATGTTAAAGAGAAAAATAACTAGGGAAAAGGGACAGGAAGTGTGTGGTATATTGCAATTATTTATTTACTGTTTCCTTGCATTCTGTATCTCCCACTGAACTGTAAGCTACATTCCTAATTTTTTTTTTTTTTACCAGCGCAAACCCGGGCATGACACAGTAGGCGTTTGAGAAACAAGTGCTGAACAAGGAGCAAAGAATATCTCCATTGCTCTAGCCTTGCCTCCTGGAAGCGAAAAGGGAAATGCCGAGGAAAAGAACTCACTTTCGGCGTTGGGGAGAGGGTGACCAGTCAAGTGAGCGACCGAGGGAAGGGCTGGTGAGGTGAACAGGGCCACTCTAAGGACTACAGGAGAGGCAGCGATGGAAGCGCCCGCAGCAGGTAAGTGGCTGTAGAAAAGGAAATTTCCTGCACCCATACTACGTGCGCAAAGTTGTAGTAAAAGGGCCATAGCTTAGGGATTTCTATCCCTAACTTCACAGCGAAAGACACTATGGTTCAGAAAGGAAAGTGCTTCGCCCACGTTCAAACTGATTGTAAGCAGTCAGAAATGCTCTAAAGTTCAAGTTTGAAGCCCTGGTGCTTTTCTCCTAGTCCGGCCCGAGCCCCAATCACGACCACTCACCTACATTCCTGAGCTTCTTGTCTAATGAGTACCCTTCAGGTTCCGCCTTCTCAGGGAAGGGGAACTTTTAGCAAGTTCCACCTATCAACAAAAAAAAAAGGGAGCGGCCTGAGGAGGTGGGACAAAATAAGGACATTGTGAAAGTGATTGGTTAAAGTGGCTGCCATTCATAAATCCGAGCCTCTGCTCCCCTCCCCTTTCGTTCCCAGCAGGCCGTGCGCGGGGGAAGATGGCGACGTCCCGGCGGTGGTTTTGAGGCGATCTCTTAGTTATGGCGTTGGCATCGGGACCCGCAAGGCGGGCGCTGGCCGGCCCCGGGCGGCTCGGCCTTGGGGTATGCGGAGCTCCTAGACGTGGTGCGTACGAGTGGGGTGTGCGCTCTACGCGGAAGCCCGAGCCTCCTCCCCTGGACCGAGTGTACGAGATCCCTGGACTGGAGCCCATTACCTACGCGAGAAAGATGCACTTCGTGCCGGGGATGGCGCGACCGGTCTTCCCGCCCTGGGACCGCGGCTGGAAGCATCCGAAGTACCACCGCTCGCCCCCTATTCACGAGCAACCTCTGTACAAGGACCAGACGTGCTACATTTTCCATCAGCGAAGCCGCCTCCTTGAGGGTGAGGCTCCTAGCTAGGCGGGAGGGGACCTAGTTCCTCTGCCCTGATCCCGACTCTGTGGCCTTGGGCAAGACATAGAAACTCCCTGGGTCTCCTCTGTTTCGTCATCTGCGAAATGGGGCCGATCGTGATTCCCATCTTGTGACAGTTGTCAGGATTAAGTGGTATAATAGATACGAAAACGTGGTAAACTGTAAAGAGCTGTGCATGTGTGAAGGAAACAGTGTAGAGTTTGAGTGTCAAAGTGAAGAGACCTGGTTTCTAGGCCTGTCCCTGTCGCTAACTCGCTGTATGACTTTGGGCACATGGCTGAACTTTCCTGAGTCTCCATTTCCTGTGAAATGAAGGTTTTTTGATTGGGTGGCCAATATTGCCCCTTCCAGTTCTGACACCCTGGAAATGTGATCTTACATTTAAGCAATAGATAGACGGAGAATATAATGGAAGGATATAGCAGAAAGAGTGTTTAATCTCTGGGCCCATCACCTCATTTCACAGGATTGGTAATTATGGCAGAGAGGGGAAGTGATTTGCCACAGGTTCACTGTGGGTTAATCATGAAGCCAGGGTTATGATTTTGGCTTCCTAAAGTTAGTCTTGGGAGCTCTGGTAGCATAGTGGCTAAGGCACTCGACTGCTAACCAGAAGGCTGATGGTTCAAACCCACCAGCCACTCCTTGGAAGGAAGATGGGGCAATCTACTTCCATAGTGATACTGCCTCAGAAACCCAAGGAGGGGTTGCTATGTGTCGGGTCCGACTCCACGGCACATAACAACAACAACAAAGTTAGAGTTGAGGTGCTTTCAAGGAAAGTAGCTGGACCTAAAAGCCTAGCCCACTTCCCTTCTGTTGCCTCAGTGAGGACAGGTCAAAATGACAGCCAAAACCAGTCTGCCAACTTAGAGGCAGTAATTTCCAGAATGTATATGTTAGTGGAGGAACTTGTTTATTGAGAGTCTCTTTTTCCATTTTTCCTCCCCCTGAGTCAAATTGGAAATAGGGCAGGTCCAGAAAACACAGATGCTTGAGGAAACTGGGAACAATATTTTCCAAGGAGTAATTAAGAAATTAAGGTGCTCTGGTAGCCCAGTGCCTTAGACATTTGACTACTAACCAGAAGATTGGCGGTTCAAGCCCACCAGCCACTCCATGGGCAATCTACTTCTGTAAAGATATACCGCCTCTGAAACCCAGCGGAGGTCACTATCAACTGGAATCAACTGGATGGCAGTGAGTTCGTTTTTTGGTTTGGTAATTCAGAAATTAGGAGCACTGGAACACAGTGCTTAAAGCACTCAGCTGCTAACTGAAAGGTTGGTGGTTTGAAACCATTAGCCACTCTAAGGGAGAAAGATGTGGCAGTTTGTCAGTTTGCTTCCCTAAAGATTTACAGTCTCGGAAACCCTATGGGGCAGTTCTGCTCTCTCTTATAGGGCCGCTTTGGAATTGACTCAGTAGCAGTGGGTTTTTTGGGGTTTTTTTTAAACTAAGAAAGAGACCTGGCAGGATTTGGAGACTAAGCCAGAGAATAAATTCTAGGTTTGGAAAAACTTATTTGACCAGCCTCTTAAGCTGCTCAAACCCATTCCCCAAAGCTGATTGTCCAGCCTTTTCATACTTCAGTGTCCTCACAGGGTACTATAAAGGACTTCACAAGACTTAGCACCCTTGAATGACACTGGTGATAGAATACTATATGGATGAATATGTCAGCTGTATTTTAGAAATTCAGATTCTGCTTGTTTGTCTAGGCTGAAAATATATCCTGCACGTTTGCTACTTGCAGAGGTTCTGTAGAGACTATAATAAAATTCTGCAAGACACAGGGCTAGTGAAGCAGATAAGGAGCAATGAAGAGATTATGGGTTAGAGTAGACAGATTCAAGTTCCCATCCCAGCCTGTCATTTACAGGGCTGAAGTGACTTGAAACCAGTTCCTTAGCATCTCTTAGACTCATTCTCCATTCCATAAAATTCCATCAAACTTGTCGGTAAAGGTGACACCCAGTAAATGGCAGGCCTAATTATTACAGATTATTTGCATATTTAGGAATTCTGGTGGTGTAGTGAGTAAGGTATGTGGCTGCTAACCAGAAAGTTGGTGGTTCAAACCCACCAGCTGCTCCATGGGAGGAAGATGAGGCAATCTGCTTCTGTAAAGGTTTGCAGCCTTAGAAACCCAATTGGGATCATTATAAGTTGGAATTGACTTGGTGGCAGTGGGTTATTTGTATACTAGTGAACAATAAGATCTTATAAAATTTCTCATTTTCAAGTTTAAGGAATAGTGGCAGTATCAGAACTAAAACTCAGGTTACCTGACTTCTAGTCTGGCGTTCGTTCTTCTGTATCACAAAATCTAGAAGTTACATTTATAAGCATTTATATATCCATTGTGATGTTTTATGAGCTTTAAAGTGAAATGTCTCATAGCCCTCATTACCTTTCATGTAGTACCACACAGAAATTGCCTGGGGGCAGTTTCCCCAAAGTGCCCTAAAGCAAAACACCAGACAGTTGCTGTGACATGATTCTGACTCAAGACTTACTGCACTCCCTCGGGCTTTCAAAATTGTGTAACTGTTCAGAAGCAGAACTCCAGGCCTTTCTTCTGAGGCACTTCTGATGAGTTTGAACTGCCAATCTTTCAGTTAGTAGTTGAATACATAATCATTTGTACCATCCAGGGACTCCTAGCCATATGTTTACCCACTGGCATCATGCCAATTCTGACTCACAGCAACCCCCATTGGGTTTCCAAGGCAGTAAATATGGAAGTAGATTGCCTCATCCTTCCTTCCTTCTGTGGAGCGGCTGGTGGGTTTGAACCGCCAACCTTCTGGTTAACAGTCAGATACCTTAGGCACTGCACCATCAGAGATCCTGTATGTATATTGTATGTATACATACATATGTATATTGGGGGAAAATGTGATTTTATATAGGCCACAGCCTGCTGGGGTGAACAGAATAAGTGATGAAGAAACGTTCTCAGCTGTTTGAATTCATCCCATGGCAGGTGCTCACTACCTGAAATAACGGTTAACCAGCTTTAACTAGAAAGCCATCCCTGAAGTTGAGTTGAAATCTGACTCTTGCTTCCCCTCTTCGTTTTTAGTTCTGACCCCTCAGGTTTTACAGAACAAATCCAATCTCTCTTAAGGCAGCCTTTTCCCCAAGATGCTACCCTGCAAACTTAAGCACCATTCCTTATTTTTGTTGTTGTTGACTGATTACCCTAAAGGTGTGAAGCAGGCCCTCTGGCTTACCAAGACCAAGTTAAATGAAGGCCTCCCAGAGAAAGTGCTTAGCCTTGTTGATGATCCAAGAAATCACATAGAGAACCAAGATGAACGTGTTTTGAACGTGATTTTTCATGCCCGTCTCTGGCATTCTACTGAAGACATTCCTAAGAGAGAGACCTACTGGTAAGTTTCCCAAGCAAATTTGATTTCCTACTGATGGATCTTGGAGTCAACCTGTTGCTTTAAGTCACCCATACGTTTCTTTTCTCCAAGCCCTGTCATTGTGGACAGTCTGATACAGCTATGTAAATCCCAGATTCTCAAGCATCCTGCTCTGACCCAGCGGATCCATGCCCAAAACTACTCTTTTTCCACCACCTGGAATCGAGGTTGGTCATCTTGTGTATTAGACAGCCTTGGTCTGTTTTCTGTCCTTCTTGTCTTAATCCCACCACCAAGTCACATTTCGTGGTGCAGTTTTACAGGCTCAGACACATTTTCAATATCATTAGCCATGGCCCAACTTTTATTTTTTTATATCATTTTTCTCCAAGATTTCAATTGAGTAGGAGCCCTTGTGGTACAGTGGTTAAGTACTCAGCTGCTAACCCAAAGATTGGCAGTTCAAACCTACCAGCTAGTCTGTGGGAGAAAGATGTAGCTGTCTGCTTCCATAAAGATTTACAGTTTTAGAAACCCTATGAACCAGTTCTATTCTGTCCTTTTGGGTCATTATGAGTCAGAATCAACTTGAGAGCAGAGGGTTGGTTTGGTTTATTTAGTAATATCTCTTGAGTGCCTGCTGTGTGCTTGGGAATGCCTAAATACTGAAGATAAGGAAATAATAAAGCAGATACAGTCTCTGCCGTCACAAAGCTCATATTCTACTACAGCAGCATTTTCATCCCTATTCATTCTTCTCTGCTCTTCCAAATAATTTTCTACATAGCTGCTAGAGTGATCTTTGTAAACTGCAAGTCTTTTTACATCCCTCCCCTGCTTCATATTCTTCACTGTTTTTTATAATTAAAATCTTTATAGTGGGATACAAGGCCCTCTGGGATTTGGCCTCCACCTACCTTTCTAGTCTTATCTCCTATACTACTGCCCTGTTACCCCTTCCCTAAATTTAAACTTTAGCCACTTGCAGGTTTTTGGCATCAAATTTCACACCTTTGTGCATTTGCACATGTTATGCATTTTGCATGGAAAGCTCTTTTTTTGTTTTCTTCATTTGACTAAATTCTACTTGACTGTAAGACTAAACTCAAGTCCTTTTCCTTTTGTAAATCCAGGCTGGGTTAGTTATTCCTCCTCTGAACTTCTGTTGTACATGCTTATTCTATTTCTGTGTTTATCTGTGTCATAGCACATACTGCACTAAATGTTAATGATCTCGTCTCTTTTCTCTTTGCCCACTAAACTCTGAACTCCTGATAGCAAGGACTATATGTTTCAGGCAGGGATGTTTAGAGGGCACAGGTATTCTGGTTGGTGGGATCTTGGAGCAGGAAAACTGGTTATGGAATAAGTTGGAATTTTTAGGACATCTGTTTGGTCAGGTTTCTCAAGCTTGCCCCTTGGAGTGTGGACTTCTTGGCTAGGAGTCAGCTTTGCAGAGGTAATGGCACCACTAAGGAAATTAGTGAACCTCATTAATAGAGGAGTACTTGTTGGCCCATCATCAAGTATTACCTCTAATTAAACTGCCCCATTTGGAGCTGTCATTGGAGGAGGGATGTGGAGGGAATTGAATTAGAAACCACACTAGAGTGGTCTGTGGGGAGAATCTAAAACCTAAGGTTAGAAGAGGTCCAGGCACATCTACTTTCCTTGCAGATTCTTTGTGAGGAAACAGGAAATACTTTAGAAAATTGTTCTTGAGGTGTGAGTATGATGTATTTTAACAAGCAGATCAGAATTTATTCATGCACTAATGTCCTTTTTTAAACATACCCAGTAATGGAGGTCACATACAATGACCAAACAAATTTTCATCCATATGAAAAAAATCACCCTTAATCCATTACTATCATACCATGATTTTGATTATTTCTAAAAATCCAAGCACCTTCAGAAGAAGGTTTGCCCATATGAAGACTCCTCAGGAGGCCATTCTCTAGGAATCTTCCCAGGCATGTTTTATCTGATGGAGGCATGTGGCCTTCTGTGAGGACCTCTGAAGGGCACCCAGTGGCCCACCCATGTTCATGAGGACAGTCTTATTGATCAGTCACATTTGAGTGGGTTTTCTCATACCACTTACATGTGTCAGATATGCTAATCTGACTTAAGGGAGACTTTCTGACTGGCTCAATTATTTTCACCTCAGTTGTTGAGGCTATTTGGGCCTTTTTCATTACTTCTCTTTCTCCATCTCTCCTTCCTCATCATAATCTAGTCATCTGGATATATTTCCCTAAACTCTGCCATTGGGCTGCATACTTCTATGCCTTGCATGTGTTATTCCTCCTTAACGAGAATACTTTTCCTCCCCTTTCTCTGCCTGGCAAACTCTTACCCAGTGGTTTTCAACCAGGGCCAGTTTTGCCCCCCAGAAGCCATTTGACAATGCCTGGAGATGTTTTTGATCATTATGACTTAGTGAAGAGTGAACAAAAAGGTGCTACTGGCATCTAGTGAGTACAGACCAGGTACACTATTGAACATCCTACAGTGCACAGGGCATTCCCCCTGACCAGAAAATTTTGTGGTTCAAAATGTTGGAAGTTGAGAAACCCTGCTTTTATCCTTTCTTCAAAACCTAGTTCTAAGGCATTGCCTCTTTTAGGAAGGCCCTGGCCTCCCAGAGAAGGTCACTTTTTACTGGTTCTGAACATTGTTCATACTTTTGTTGTAGCTCTTAATACTTGGTGAGCTCCTTGAGAGCAAAGAGTAGTTCTCACTCATCTCTGGGTCCTCAGCTTAGAGCAGGTGCTTTTTAAGGTATATATGGGGTAGACCTGAATCCATAGAGTTTGCCAGGCCCCAGGACTCACTGGAAAGCTAACCCAAAGAGGAAGAGTGCATTGTCATCATCCCTCTCTCAAGAATCCTAGGATTGGCATCCTTACTTGAATTTTTGTTCTCTAATTAGGCTGACATCTAGAAAAACTATAAATTACTTGAGAAACTTGGGAGGATGAAGGGTCTAGGCTTTGCTGAGCTGGGGTGAGACCTTAGACCAGGCTAGACTAATTGTCTTTCTTTTCTTGTAGAGTCTGCTCTTCTTCAGGTCCGTGGGTCCAGCGGAACCCGATTGAGTGCCAAGGATCCTCTGCCCCCGATTGCCTCCAGAGAGGAAGTTGAGGCTACTAAGAATCATGTTCTTGAGGCTTTTTATCCCATATCTCCCATTATTGATCTTCAGGAATGCAATGTTTATGATGTGAAAGATGACACAGGTGAATGTCAAAGCCTTTGATCTTTAGGCAGTATATGGCAGACATCCTTTTTCCTAAGGGAAAGGATATACTGAATATTTGCTATGTGTTAGGGGAAGAGAATGATGACCTGATAGGGTCGTGGCCTAGAGAAACAGTTCTAAACTTTGATTCATTCTTGGATGGTGCCGACAAGTGCTCAACAACTAGCTAAAAGGTTGGTGGTTTGAAACCAGGAGGTGCCTTAAAGGACAGTCCTGGTGATCTGCTTCCGAAAGGTCACAGCCTTGAAAACCCTGTGGAGCGAACTGCTCCACACACATGGGGTTGCCATGAGTTGGAATAGACTCCATGGCAACTAGTAACACCACAATAAACTTTGATTCCCAGCATCAGTGTTGTGCAGATCATTTGTGAGGTATGAGGCAAATTACTTGTTATTAATAATAAAGAATTGACTTCTGCAAATGATCTGTTGTATTTTTAATAATTCCCACAGAGTTTATGTTACTCTTCTACTAACATCACTATCAGCTATGCCCTTGAATTAGAAAGGGGACAGAGTTAGAGCTACTATGCAGGAATCACTTATGAGGGGTTGGCAGACATTTTCTATGAAGAGCCAGATAGTAAATACTCTAGGTTTTGTAGGTCACATATGATCTGTCACAAGTACTTGATAAATATACAGAAATGAGTGGGCATGACGGTGTTCCAATAAAACTTACAGACAGGCATTGGCTAGATTTGACCTGCAGGCTGAAGTTTGCCATCTCGTAAGCTGTAGGAATAAGGTCTACTTTTACTGTATCCCTCTGTAGTACCTGACACTGAGCTAAGTGTGAGGAGATATTCCTGATGCTTTGTGGCAGGCTGATTAATCTCTTTTACCTCTCCACATTGTTATGTGTCATGCAGGATTCCGGGAAGGATATCCTTACCCCTATCCCCACACCCTGTATTTCTTGGAGACAGCCTGTTTACAACCACACCGCTTTCAACCAGATCAGCTGCGGGCCAAGATGATCCTATTTGCTTTTGGCAATGCCCTGGCTCAGGCCCGGCACCTCTATGGGGTATGTATGTGGAGAATACCAGAAAGCTGCTTTATGTGGTAGTGTTTTTCTGCTTTATACCATTCAAAGAAAGAAAAAGGGTATGTGAGACTCCTTGCTTGGCTTTGTAGCTGCTCTGAGTTCCAGGGAGAGGCACTTCTGTTTAGCTCACCGAGAAAGAAAGAATGCTGAGGGCCTACACTGTACCCATGCTTTACATAAGGTAACTCATTTGTTGATCCCAGTAGTCCACAAGATTTCACTGTATACCTATTTTCCAGATTATAAATCACAGGAAGGCTTAGCAGCTTGTTCAGAAGTTCACAGCAGGAAATGGTAGAGCCAGAATTGGAGCTAGGTATATCTGACTCCATAGCCATGTGATTTGTACTGCAGTGCATTGTCTCTGCTGTAGTATCTCAGAGGTGGAACACAAGACTCCTTTAGGCAAGCAGAAGGAAGTGAAGCAGTAGGGATGGTTAAGATCTGCCTGCTAAGCTAAGTGGGTCTGGGGGCCCAGGATACCACTTTGTAGTAGCCCCCTGATTCTGAGAGGAAGTTTCTGGGACCTGGATGGTAATAGAATGCAGGCTGAACGGTTGTCACGGAGAGTAGTCCCAAGATGGGGGGTAGATTGGACCTAGAGTAAAGGCCTCAGGAAGGGAATGGCAGTATGTGCACTCCCAAATAGGCCCATGGCACCAGATCCCTGGTTTTGGAGGGAGAGGATTCTCCTTGCTGCTGGAGGGTTCCTAGGTCTTGATGCTTTCCTGGGGGAATGAGGAAATTTCAAAGTTCTGTTTCCCATTCTGCTTAGAGAGCTATGCAGGGGCTGGAGGAGATGTGGTAGCCAGATGGGATAGGCAGTGGAATGGGCCTTGCCTGCGTTGGACATCTGTTACATGCTAGACATTTAATGAGGGTTCTCTGTATCAGTGGTTCTCAAATGTCATTTTGGACTAGCAGTGTCAGCATCATCTTATAACTTAGAAATGCAAGTTCTCAGACCCGCCCCAACCCTACTGAGTCAGAAATCTTGGGGGTGGGCCCGTGGCCCAGCAATCAGTATTTTAATAAGCCCTCCAGCTGATGCTGATATAAGCTCAAGTTTGCAAACCACTGCACTAAAATTTGAGAACCACTGCCTTTATTTAATCTTTGTAGCAGCCTTGGGTAGCAGATACTATTAGTTTCATTTTACAGATGAAAAAACTGAGGCTCAGCAAGGCTAAGTAACTTGCCCAATCACACAGCTGAGGATTTAGCAGCTCCCACATCTTTATAACGGCTTTCTGTTTTCCATTCCTAGGATGATTATCTTCTTATTCTACTTCCTGAAGGCTCAGAAGATTAGGTAACTTGCCCAAGATCCGACAGCTGATGAATGAGAAGCTAGGATTAGAGCCCTGATTTCTCTAATTTAGAAGTATTGTGCTGCCTCCCAGCTTGGGCAGGGAAAGGAGGCAGAGATAGTAACATGCAGGTCCCAGGCCTGCAGGCTCACTGTAGCTTCTGTGCCAGCAGAGCATAGGTAGTGACTATGCCACTAATTGCCATCCAGTTGGATAGAGAAGAGGCCCCTTACTCCCTCCAGGTACAAATTATTCCTGGGAATATGAAGTTGAGCAATTATGGGAAGAGCCTCCATGTAAAAAGTAAAATTGCTGAGAAATTTATGTACTACCTGGAGTTTTATTGATCTGTAGAGGGAGATAAGAGTCAATACAGAATTCTTGGCTAACACTTACAGATACTTTTTATTTCTTGTGTGGCTAAGAACCAGTATTTTTCTAAGGCCAAACAGCCACAGTGTGGCTCACACAGAGATCTGACATTAGCTTTCCTCATGTCAGGTTCAGCCCTGGATGGGTGAATGTAGGCAGCATCATTGAAGCAAGGATGCTCTGCTTCATGTGGCCTGCCTGTTGGGTCTTTGTCCACTCAGTAGCAGTTACCCACCTGTGGATGGCTGCAAAGTCTCATTCAGGTGACCGTAATTTATCATCCAAACTGGGACATTACTGAAGTAAATGGAGGGGATTTGACTGCTATCCAGAAGGTTGGCAGTTCAAACCCACCAGCCACTCCTCAGAAGGAAGGTTGGGCAATCTACTTCTGTAGCGATAGCGCCTTGGAAACCAAAGGAAGGGTCACTATGAGTTGGATCCAACTCGACAGCAGTAAGTTTGGTATTTTTTTTTTTTTTACTATCAAGTACATTGGGACAACGTTCAACAGAACAATAGTGACTTCATAGTGTCATGTAAAGGAGGAACAACCAGGAGTCAGATCCCAGCTCTGCCATTTCCTCACAGATAACCTTAAGCAAATTATATACCACCTCTCTGAACCTTGGTTTTCTTATCTGTTAAGTGGGAATATATCTAGATTTATGAGATTAGATACAACTTTATGTAAAACGGGAGCTCTGGTGGCATCCCTAAGGCATTTGACTGCTATCCAGAAGGTTGGCAGTTCAAACTCACCAGCCACTCCTCGGAAGGAAAGTTGGGCAATCTACTTCTATGGTGATACTGCCTCGGAAACCCAAGGAGGGGTCGCTCTAAGTTGGATTCGACTCGACAGCATTGCATTTGGTTTGTTTTGTTTTATGTGAAACTGGCCTAATGCTTGCTTGGCACATAAGAGGCCATTAGTAAATAGGTCCTAGCATTATTACTAAGTGGTAGGAATTGAAAGAGATGATTAGCAAATGATGTGACTGGTGAGATCCTGATGCTGATGGCAGCTGAAGTGGACACTCCAGGAATGTGGCCTATTCTGAGATTCATTGAGAGCCTGAGCCCCGGTGAGATGACTGTGCGCAGACTAGAGCATCCCAGGACACCAGGTCTGAAGAGCAAGGCAGATGTGGGAAATGTGCATGGTTTAGTGTTAGCCAGTTCTGGGTTCTGATGCCACACATCTTTGTGACCTCAGACAAGTCATTTTACCTTGCTGAGTCTTGGTCTTCTCATTTACTAAATGAAGTGAGAACTGAAAGAGATCACATGTCATCATAGAGCCTTCAGGTTAACATTTGATAAAGCTGATTTCACTGTTGTCCCCACCAGATAATGCGATGAGTTTGAGGCATTTCCTGTTATTAACCTCCTACTTTACCTTCATGAACTATGCTGCTTGCCCAGTAATCACCTCTCAATGGCAGGAATTATTATTCTAATGTGCTTCATTTGAAGAGCAGGTACCCTGGAGCCAGAAGGCATCAGAGGCCCAACAGCCAGGTGGGGATGAAGGAAGGCCTGAACTGGACAGAGCCCTCACCTCCTCATTCTATTTTAATTGCCCCCCAAGGTGCAGCCAGTAATTAAATGGGCATGGGCCTTTGTAATGGCCAGAACCAGAAGCTGCTGCTCTGTGCTGTTCCTCTCCTCACAGATTCTGATGCATTTTACACTTACTGTCTTGTTTTCTTAGGATGACCCTAAAGTTTTGGAGCATCCAGTGACTGTGCAGAGTGTGGGCACTGATGGACGCGTTTTCCAGTTCCTAGTGTTCCAGCTAAACACCACAGATCTGGCTTCTAGTGAGGGTGTCAAGAATCTGGTCTGGATGGAATCAGACCAACTCTTATACCAGCATTTTTGGTGTCTCCCGGTGGTCAAAAAGAAGGTGATTGTGGTGAGTCCAACCATCTCCAGCCCTGTGATTGGATCAGGGCCATGACTTGTTCTACCCAGAGTGAGCTGGGTGGGGAATGGGGGTGGTTAAAGGAATGCTCTGGGAGAGGGACGCTGCCTTGAGGAACTTTGTGCACAGGATCTCTACTTGGAAGGCTACTTTAACACTGTCCATCACCCAAAACAGTGCTTTCTACCCTGGTGGGCCTTGTCTAGCTCCTCCACCTTCCCTGCCCGCTTCCCGCTGTACTCCACCCTCAAGACCCACCTGGCTCCTTAACACACCGAAGGATACCCTACCGCATACTCAGCTCAGGACTTTTGTAGATGGTGCTCCTTTTTCGTAGGAGACTTCTTTTTCCCTGCTCTCTGCTTCCTGTTTCTTCTGGCCATCTTTTTGTTCATACTGTCAGATTTATCATAAGTGTTTCTTGCTTGGGGAAACCTTCCTTGATCACCACTGCCCTCACTTCCAGGCTTGCTTAGGTGCCTCTGGTGTGATCCGTAGCTCCTGTATTCCCCCATCACAGCCCGCTCATGCCCTGCTGTGCTGTAACTATCTAGTACATGTTTTTCTCTTCCACCAAACCAAACTCCGAGCTCCTCGAGGGCAGGACCTGTGAATGATGCATTCATTCATTTCATTCCACAGATACAGATTCTTCCCATGTCACTGTCACTGCTTTACCCCATTGCTAAACTGGCAGAGTCCAGGCCTGCATTCCGTGTAATGGGGAGAGATGAGATCCAAATAAGTGCGTAATAAAGCATGAAGGAATAGTAAGCACTCTGAAGAGACATAAAAACAGAATTGGGGATGAGGGAGAACAAAGTATGGGTACTACAGGATCTTTGAAGAGCTATATTCCCAGTGCCCAGCACAGGGCCTTAGCTATTTGCTGAATGGGCCTGTTGAACCTTTGAGGATAATCAGCATGTCTATTGTATAATTAGTTCTCCAGCATCTGTCAGTATTGTTTCTCTGGGCCCTTCTCATCGTGTCACTCAGTCCAGATACCATGTCTCTCAGTGAGTCACCTCAACCTCCTCCAGGTCTTTGCTCTTGGTCATGTTCTTCACCCTTTCATGTCTTTAGGTCTTCTTTCTCTATCCTCCTCCTAGGACTGTTAAAACCAAGGTCTTCTGTAGGATTTGTGGCATCTACAGAAGGCTGGCGGTTCAAACCCACCGGCCACTCCTCGGAAGGAAGATGGGGCAATCTACTTCCATAGTGATACTGCCTCGGAAACCCAAGGAGGGGTCGCTATGAGTTGGGTCCGACTCGACGGCACATAACAACAACAACAACATTCCTTAGTGCTTAGACCCAGGCCCTTTCTGCTTTAGTCAGATGGCTCCTGCTTACCTCTCCACCTTCATCTCCTGCCATTCTTCCCCCACCCACTCCACCCACACTCCCACTAGCCCTGGGTTCCAGCCTCAACACTGCCCTTTCTGCACCTTCATACCATTGTACATGCTGATCTCTCCAAAGTCTCCTTCCTTTTTTTCTTTGGCACTGGCTCATTTTGCTTATCCTTTAAGATACACTCATACATGGCTTCTTCCATGTATGGGAATCAGTGAGGTAGTCATTTTGTACTCTTGTTTCATAGCACTGTTTCCACTATTTGAACACCTGACTGTAAGCTCCTTGATGGCAGGAACCAGATTCAAGTTACTGCTGGGTCTCTGGCACTGGGCACTGGCCCAGGACAGAGAGAGAAAATAAAATACTTAATAAATGCTGTGGAATGAGTAAGGGATTATTGTCCCAGGAATTTAAAGTGATGATAGATCATCTTTGTTCCTGGTAGTTCAAGTGGGAAGGTCAGAGTGCAGGAGTGTCAGCAGATGATCTGGCTGAAAGGCAGTAGGAGAGTTTCATGTCCTATTCCCCGGCCTCATCCCCTCAGGCATCTCAGTGCCAGTGCCTCAGTGCTTCTTGGTCCATGAGAGAGATGATGTCAGAGAAAGAAACGATTACTATCCAGGCACTTAGGAATTACACAAAATTGACCTTTATTTTAATTGCTGCTATTAAGGCTAGTAGCAGGATTCTAATGGGCTGTGTTCTTTTCAGGAGCCTGTTGGGCCAACTGGTTTCCAGCCAGACACATTCAGGAAGTTTCTAGCTCTGTATTTGCATGGTGCTAGGTGCACATAACAACAACAGCAGATGAGCAGAAGACTGTTCTGAGTCCTGAGCCCCCTGCCCCTCTCCCACTGAAGAGCCTGCATCCTGGGCAGTATGTGGGACCTACCTGGATCCTCAGCTCTTGTGTAGCCTGTTGGTCTCACTGAGAATAAAGAATGTTCACATGCACTAGAACCTCTGGTTAGTGCAAGGGGGTTGTCAAGAGAGGGACCTGCAGTTCCATCTGTGCCGGTAAGGTGTGCCACACTGACCTCATCACAAGTACCGGCCCTGGAACCTGTCCTCCCTTTCTATTACTTTAGATCAGCATCTTCATTTCTGTGAGTTTCAATTTCGAAACATGGGGCTAAAATGACCTACCTTGTTTTGAGGCCTATATAGATTGTGTATTTGGGTGCTCTGTGATGGTAGTAAGAGGTGCACTGGTGGAACAACAGTTAACGCTCAGGTGCTAACCGAAAGGTCAGCAGTTCAAACCCAGCATCTGCACTGTGGGAGAAAAGACGTGCGGATCTGATCCTGTAAAGATTACAGACTAGGAAACCCTATGGGCAATTCTACTCTTGTCCTAGGGTCACGATGAGTTGGAGTCAACTCAATGGGCAGCAGGTTTTGGTTTAGGCACCTCATGTTCATTATCTCTTGGGATTTATATAGCAGCCCCATGAGACAGATACTGTTATGCTCATTTTATAAGCAAGAAAACTTAGACTCAAGAAAGTTCTGTAATTTGCTTAAGGTCATTAAGGTCACACAGCAGAGCCAGAATTCTGTCTGACTGCAAAGCACATGCTCTTTTTTTTTTTTTAATTGTGATTTGGGTGAAGATTTACAGAGCAAATTCACTCTCCGTACAGCAGTTCACATATACTTTGTCTCATGTCATTGACCACAGTTTACCACAATGCAACAGCTCCCCTCCCACTTCCTCCCCATAGTTACCACTTCCCAGTGTCCATCCCTCCATACTCTCCTGCCCCCTGAGCTGTCTCCCTGTGCATAAGCAGCCCTTCTTTCTCTCATGATTGTTCTCTCGAGGGCGTGTGTCTACTTGAGGTAAATGTTCAACTCACATGCCTGTACTTTGTTTGGCTGGAAACCACAGGTATGAGTTCAATTCCAGACCTGAAGGGCAGCCAGGGGCCATAGTCTCAGTGGTTCCACCAGGCTCTATTGGACCAGCAAACCTGGTCCCACACATGCTCTTTTTACCAGCTATTTCCCTTAACCCCATCAGCATTGATGGTAGCTAGATTCTTGGGTGATTATTTGAACTTTATAATCTACCAGTGTCTCTAGACACATTCCTTGCCATGACTTCAGAAAATTTGAATTGAATATTCACTGTAAATTTCTTATTCGAAACTAGAAAAAAACTCGCTGCCATTGAGTCGGATCCGATTCATAGTGACCCCTCCTTGGGTTTCTGAGGCGGTATCACTACAGAAGTAGATTGCCCAATCTTCATTCCGAGGAGTGGTTGGTGGGTTTGAGCCACCAGCCTTCTGGTTAGCAGTCAAATGCCTTAGGCACTATGCCACCAGAGCTCCCAAAATTTCTTATTAGTCTCCTGGTTAATGGGCCATTATACCCCTGGTTCAGCTGACCTCTTTTTGTTCAAATAACATCAGGTCCTGCTATGTGCTAGACATCATGCCAAGTGTCCTCTTCTTGTTTAATCTTCATACACTATTGCAATTCAATGACATTTCCATTTTGTACATTAATTTATTTAAGAAAAATAGAGTGCCTTTGTATGTGGCAAACACTGTTCTAGGTCCTAAAAATGAGAAAATTGAAAATAAGGAATTTACCCAAACTCACACAGCTAATGTTTTAGGTGAACTTCCCCTGGAAACAGACTTTGAGTTGGTGATTTGCATGTGGAAAATCTAGAGAGAACCATTGGAATCATTATCTACGGGGAATGAAGGCAGTAGCAGTCTCACTGCTGAGGGAGGGATAGGTCGGTGGGGTTGTTCCTGAGGCTTCACCAGTTCACTGGGAGCTCTGGAGCTGGCTTAGCCCTATAGAGTTGTCCCACCCTGAGGCAGATGGCGAAGCCTGTATACAAAGCCCATTGTCTTATCACCAGTGATTTTATGTACTTTTCTCCTGGGAGTGGGGAGGTCTTGGGGGAGGTGGTTCTTTTGGGCTGAGTGCAGTTCCCGAAGAGAGGCTTTTCTGAGCCCAGTAAGCTGCTACTTCCAGCAGCTGAGGAATAAGTGCCTGAAGTGCCCCCAGCTCTGAGGAGAGATCTGAGAGCACATCGTAGCATCCATCACAGCCAGCCAATGGCACAGTGAGTTGCCAACCAACACGTCTCAACTCTGCTCCCAGGCTTGTGCTTGTTCCCCTTTACAGCTGACCTTTTAGGTTTGAGGGGAAGGGTGGGAGGACAAGGGAGAGTAGCAAGAAAAGGAAACAATGTGTACAAAAGCAGAGAGGCATAGAGGACCCTGAGGAGGAGGCTGGAAAGGAATCCAGTGGCCAGCTATCGAAGAGGCTCTGAAGGCCAGCACCTTAGGCTTTCCTTGGGTGATCCAGGGCCAGGTGATCCCTATTGCCTTTTCTTATTTAAAAAATATGAACAATTATATCTAAATGATGAAAATTCAAATAGGTCAGAAAAGTATAGTTACGTTACCCCACCCATGGTAATCTATATACTTCTTTCCCTGGAGGATAACCATAGTTTCTTATGTACTATCCATTAATGTGTGCAAGTGTACATTGTATGTGCATTGCTGAGTGTCATCTTAAATACAGACTCTTGTGCACTTTCCTCTTTTCACTTAATATCTTGGGATCATAGGATCTTGCCACATCAGCACATATGATCTACCTTGTACTTTTGAGCAGCTGCATTAATATCTATTGATGGACATTCAGCCTGTTTCCAGTTGTTAGTTATTATGAATAATGCTGCAGTGAGCATCCTTGTTCGTGTACCTTAGAGTACTTTTGCCAGCATAGCCATTGGGTAAATTCCTAGAAGTTGAATTGCTGAGTCAGTTTTATTTTTAAAGAACACTCTGCTGGGTGTGTAGAGGACCACTAGTGGGGAGGACTGTAGGAGTCTGGCTAGAGGCCATTGCAGAAATTCTTGAGCAAGTGATGGCGATGACTTGAGGCAGTCCTAAGCAGTGGCATCACCTGAGACTGGCTGTTTGGAGACTGAGAGGGTGAAGTTGTGAGCCTGAACCTTGAGAGAGTGGGAGTGAGACTGAGTTAGCAAGAAGCATATAGTAAGCAGATGACCTTGCAGCTTGATCACTGCCCTGGAAGGAAGGAGCCAGAGTGGCAGGACAGGGCTGGGCATATCCTCTCCTCCCAGCCTGGCCTGGGTGTATCACGTGCAGGCCTGACAGTGTGGAGGTAGCAGGATAGGGTCTTCTAAGGCTGTTTCCTCTTTTGTGACTGAACAAAGTCCTTTAAAGCATGCATATAACCTATGTGTCTCAGACTGTCTCCCTTTAACACAAATACTTGTTACAAGTTAGTCCTAGCCACCACTCCTCACTTCAGGGTGACCAGCTCTCAGCCCTCTGAGTCTTTCAGCTCATGAGTATTTAATAGTATCTTTTAGGTGCCAGAGGAGCTCTGGTGGCACAGTGGTTCAGGCACTTGGCTACTATCTAAAAGGTCAGTGGTTCGAACCCACCAGCTGCTCCATGAGAGAACAATGAGGCAGTCTGCCTCTGTAAAGATTTATAGCCTTGAAAACCCTATGGGGCAGTTCTACTATGTCCTGTAGGGTTGCTATGAGTTGGAATCAACTTGATGGCACTGAGTCTTTAGGTGCCAGGCATGACAGGGATAAAACAAATTTACTTTCTAATGTGGGAAGACAGACAGTAAATAAAGAAATACATGTTGGAATGACTGATATGAAGAGAAGTGAAGCAGGGTGTCTTAGATGGGATTTCTGGGAATAGACTCTGAGATGGAGAGTGGAAGCAGAAAGTTTACTGGGGAGTGCTCCCCAGAGAGACCTGTAAGGAAGTGAGGAAGCAGGGAGAGAAGTGGAGGCCTTGATGGTTCTATAGAAAGCAAGCTCTGGAGCTAGCATGGCCCATTGGAGTTGTCTCAAATAGAGGCAAGGTGGAGAGTCCTTGTCTCACTTTAGCCACTGGCCACCATCTGGGAGGAGGTGAAACCTTGGGGCCCAGGGCAATTCCCAGGGAGAGACACAGTTGCAAGCTGTCAGCAGTTGGGGGGGGGAGGTGTGTCAGAGGTATGATGTTAGGTAACCATGGTCAGGGAAGGACCTCTGTGAGAAGGTGACATTTGACTAGGTCCTAAATGAAGTGTGGGACCAGGCTGGGAAGATACTTGAAGTGGGAATTTGAGTCAGGTCACCTACTGTTAGGACATCTTTTAGAGGTGGGGGAGCAGCCCAAAAGCTTGGGGGGGGGGGACTTTGTCTGAGGTCACAATGAGTTGGTTCTAACCACAGCTTTGTGGCTGAGCTCTGTCTCTGCCCTTGTTTAGCCTTCAGTTAGGATCCCAGGAACCAGTATCTCCATCCAACACATGTACCCAGCAGTCATGTCCCCAGTTGGCTTACAACTTCCAGTAATGGGAAACTTTGTACTCAATGCAGCCGCTTTCATTCTTTGGCAGCTGTGGCTGCCACATGTTCTCACATCGCAGGAGGAACATCATCCTGGAGTTTCAAGATAGGGTTCCCAGCTCTGCCCTCTGTAGCCACATAGTATCTTTTAGTTTTCTAGTACTGCTATAACAGAATAGCATGGCAAATAGAACAAATAGATGGCTTTAACAAACAAATTTATTCTTTCACAGTTTAGAAGGCTGAATTCAGGATGCCAGCTATAGAGGAAGGCTTTCTCTCTTTGTTGGTTGTAGGAGAAGTCCCTTGTCTCCTTTCACCATCTGTGGGCTCAGCGTCTCTCAGAGATCTCCATGTGTCTTGGCATCAGTCTTCCCCAGAGTCTGGGATGTTCTCAGCACAGGACCCTGGGTCCAAAGGATGTACTTCATTC